AACATGTCGTACCCAGCTGGACGTGGAGGGGCTGGCGAATCTTGTGGGGGAAATGACCGAGTTGCTGCCGGCCACATTCCATACGCAAGGGAGTCAGGATGGTCTCCCTGTGGGTGAGCCATGTACACAAGTGGAATTACAAACCAAACAAATTTCCGTCATGAAGATGAAATCGTGAACGAACGTTCATACGGGCCGATGTTATCACTCTGGAATGACCGGGCACGGGAATGATCGAGGTCGCCGTACCCGGTCATAGGTTTGGCCTACTCGTCATTTCCCGGATGTGTTGTGATTAGTGTTGTGACACATGTTAGGATAGAGCCGTTATTGGGATAGACAGGAGATGACCGCTGTGCTAAAGCAATAGTGCAGCACGGATGTCACCGCAGCCGAGATGGAAAGCAGCTGAATGCAATCTGTGTACTCTGGTTATCCGGGCAGTGGGTGAACCCAGTGTCAACCGATATTTAAGGTTGCACTCAATGCGCATAGGTACAACGCGAGTTCTTGTTCACTCCAGACATAAAGCATACTATTGTAGGAACAGGGCTTTCAGAAATGCAGAATCTACAGTTGACTTAAAATGGGCAAATTGACAGCACAACGGTGCTCAGTCAAAGTTACGGGATACCCGAGCAGTGCAGAAGAGAAATTCTTGTCTGAAGGCTTTCTACTGTGATGTGCGTCAGCACAGTTTGTGTTCGAGGAGTTATCCGAACTGTTCACAGTTGAAATTTTTTTATAATTTTGTCCACGAATCGAACACAAAATCTCCCCCATTAATACAGCTTTGAATTTACAATCCCTGTCGAGCACCGCCCACCAGATTGAGAGGGTCCACAAGCAAGTTCAAGAAATGCCGAGAAATGTAGTAATCTAGGAAGTTAGTTATCATACAGCTATGCAATTGTTTGTGATAGAGGTGAACTGGAAATACCGATTTTGTTTGAATTTTTGGCGTTCAAATGAACGGGCCGTCAGTTGGGTTGTAGCTGTCCAACTGCTTGCGATGATCTTTCATTTTCTCAAACAATCCCGATATTTCAGGGTTGTCAACCTGCTTTCGAAGCACCGGCATCTAGCTATAAAATCAGGATTCTAGGAGGAAACGGCGTTTGCGGTTGAGAACAGACAATACTTAGTTGGACAGATGCAGCTTGGTTTGCTGGGGGCATCATCCACTTTTAAGCACTTGATTACAATAAAATGTTGCTATGTATTGGAAGATGTCGGCTTTTTTAGCGATTTGTGACCAGAAATCGTCGTTCACCTAAAAGCTGTGCTGAAACCTATACGAAAGGCTGGCCTCCAAATAATTGAGGTCAAGAGACAGCTCGCTCGGAATTCTTTGAAGCTCTCGAGCACAAGATGTGTCGATGGGCATTAGCCCATCTATTCAGCGATCACTTGAGCCACACTGAGTTAGGCTCCAACCCAAAAGTAAAATCGTTTCAATAAAGGTTCATCAAGAAATTCGGCACCCTGAAAGCAACACTAAGATAATTAAATGGTACAAAGCCAAACCGTAGCAATACACCGGCTTCCATAACCGGTTTAAAGACAGCTTAATAAAAACGTGACCTCGAAAATTACACCGGCTTGAAGCAGTGTAGACGCAAGGTAGCGAAACCTATGTCTTTATTTAAAAATACGGGCGGTGACACAGAGTGGGTTACCTTCAGGTCAAAGCAAGAAAGGCGGTATTAGAACAAAACGGAAACAACAAAACCCGGAATCCCAAGAGCAGTCAAAGGAAATGGTGGAACACAGAACTTTGCAACCTCTAATCCACGCCGGTAATCATGGCACTTCCTTGCATGATCGGTATACCACGGTCGGTTTGTCATGGATTTCAACTCGATTTCCGATCCTCTGTATGTCCCACTGCGTCATATAAGAAGTGTAAATGGACATAGGAAGCGTACGAATTGTTCGAAAGTGTCAGAACGCGGATGCTGGATCAGCAGCTGATGATCAAACATGCCAGTTCTGGAGAGATTTTTACCTTAACAACGGATCTTATTGACCAATATATACGTGCGGTTTCGAATCAGAGGTACATAGTCATCTAACCTGCTAATAGTGACCTTAAAAACGCTGAGCTGATGTACTCAACTGTCTAATTGGAGACCGTAGTTGCTGTCACGGCGTTTTCCCGTGAAGGCCGATCACACCCCCGTGAGCGGTTTAAAGCCACTACATTTACTCGCGGGAAGATCGCGTGCGGTACATGCCGGGTAAAGAGTGCACCTGGCCGATCAACTCAAGAGGCCAATGACTGGAGATGAGGCCCAAAAGATCGTGATCAGGTCCATTAGTCTCCTCTTTGACATTGATCTCGGAAGATTAGTGTAATCCCAGTGACAGAAGCCCACAGAACGGACGGCTTGCCCGCTTTGTTTTACGGAAGGTGTATTGCGAATGTGTAGGGAGACAGATAACTTGTAACGTTTCAGAACACTTCGATAGGATGAGCTTCAATGATCCTGGTGCAATATAATGGAACACCAACGAATAAAATGTTTTACTGTCCTCGGCACCTAGCATCTTGGGACAGAAGCAGGCCATCGAATGCCACGGGATGGCACACACGGGATGCACCGAGACATACAACTTAGTGCAGCAGTGGCCTGTTGGCCAGGGATTAGAATCATGGTGAGGAATTAATTGGTGGTGTGTAAGGGGTGAAATAAGATAGAACAGAGGCAATTCACCGCGTCGAACCTCTTAATTTTCAAGAGCTTGGTGAAGTATCACCAAATTTTAATATGAAATTTTCAGCTGTTCTTACTTTGTGTCTTTTGATCTAATGCAGTTATGTCTACTTCGTGGGTCACCGGCGCATCTACCCGAAGATACACGCCCCCTTGTATCTTGAATATCCAGGTTATCAGGCTTTTCGGAATAAGATGTTTCGCGTCTTTCCTCAAATTTGGGTGTGCTGTCTAAAACAGTACTGTTTTAGTTCACAGAAGCGTCCCGCCTGGAACTCTAGAGTGGCCTCAAATGCAGTGGACGTTGAAGTCCGATGAACCGATTCAGAAAACTTGTAGCACGTGTGAGAAAAATTTTACTATATTGAACTTACTGTAGCTCCCGATAAATCAGGGAAACATCAAAAGTCGCTCCTGCATGGCATTAACTTGATTGCCCGCCACACACTTTCGAATTTAGAAAGATCTGTTCTGCGTGGAGTGAACCGTAGTCTTTCCCCTATCCTACCAAAAAATCGAAGAACATAAGTTGGTGCTCCTTTAACAGTAACCTCAGCATTTCCTCAATGAAGATTTTGTGTTTAATTTCTTCAAGAACTGACAACCGTGAAACGTAATGGGAGTCCCAAATGGCCCATACTGAGTTTATTAAGCACGCAAACGAAGCGTTGTTTGTCCGGGCAACCCTTCATCAAAATGTGCTCGCGACAGTCACCTATCAACTGTTCGAACTTTTGACGTTAATAGCAGCAGCGAGCGAATGCAAGTTTCAAAGAGCCTATCCGAAGTCCCGAAGGTTTTTATGTTAGGGCTCCGTCGTAGGCGTGGCAGAGACAACAAGCAACAAGTTACAAAAACAGTGAGTAGAGATGAGAAATGTATTGCGATGTGACTTAGGTGTCAAGTTTCCTCCTTATTCAAAATACCAGGTTTTGTCAACACTTTTGTAGTGATCGTGACTGTGCTATATCTCCGTCCAGTAACATCCGGAGGGCATGTAAAGGATTTCTTACCTTCATCTGACGGCCGTCTGTAGCCGCTCCTTACAGAACTGTTCAAACCTGCTGTCACAGTGAATAATTCCCTCCAGGTATAGAGGAGCAACGAATACTCGTGTCGGGGCTTTCTCTCCGTTAACAATTATCAATCCAGTAGCCAAATAGTGAGCCAGGTAACAGCCTGAGGCGGATCGTTAAGTGGAAGACATGATATATGTTGAATTACGATACGTAGAATTCTATCCAACACGCCTTTGTCAAGTCCGATTATGCCCGTCAACCTTCTCTTGGCGTTGGATTTTGTTAGATTTTGTTACGTTTCCGGTACCCTGGATCTGAAAAGTTTTTGAACCCTTTCAATCCTCGGGTACCACCACTCAAGGCACGCTCTAATTGCATTAGGGATATAGGAATAACGCGTGGGATTCCCCAGTGATGGATGATGGTATCGTGGATGATATCAACCTATGAGCAAGCTACCCGAATCAGGAGCCCCCGGACGAAATATGAGAACTTCGCAAATGTTGTATGTAGCCGAAGTTCTTCGCCATCTTCATGCCAGCCTAAAATCGATCTGCTCTATTGCGATAGGAATACAGTAGTCACTTAGAGCCATGACTTCCGGCCTCACTAAACAAGTGCATATTATCCGCACAATGCTCGTAGTTGCAAGACTTTTACGAGCGGAGTAAAACTTCCCAAGATTAAATGTTGCATTTTGTTGCTTATCTTCTCAAGCCGGAAACCGTCTTTATCTGCCTTCATGCTTATGCAACTCACTAAATTTCATTGTTCACTCAAGCGTCCAAGCCCCTGGGCGGATAGTCTTGTGGGATGATTTCGCAGCATCTTTGACACCACGGAATGCCTAAATGCTGTTTAGAAATGTGGACTGATACTCTAAATTCAATTGTCTGATTGCTTTGGTCCATCAGGAACACGTCATGACTTTCGAAATTTCAATTCCATTGTGCGGATACTGAGTTCGTACTAAACACGTGGCCACCAGAACCAATTTAATGCGGCGCAATTATTTTGACAAGGTTTATGCTTTCTTGATATGAATCATGGACTCAGTGCCAGACCCTGACTTTCTACTCGAGGATGAGCTACGCGAACATCTCGCTTGAACTAGTCCATTCGTTTGTTCACATCACGCCCATGTTGATGGTAACCGCGAATTTTCGACCGTTACCATGAAGGTCGAGATATATGGCCACATGAAGAAGGAACCTTTTCAAAAGGCACTATATTGTGCACAAGTACGTGGAAGTAAAGTGATCGAATGAAGAAGGACCTCTATGAAGCCCATCCAAAAATATTTCAGAAACCTGAAATACATGGTCTACTTGAATTTGACTGGACAACATACTTGTTCGTTAAAAAAAGAGTGAGTGACCTTAAAGCACTGACATATGACTTGAGGAGCTTGGTGGGCGATACTGGAAATACACATCACCAGTTCTCGTCATTTTGAATAACGAAGTACTGGGATCAGATGAAGACTTCAGAAAGTGGGCCGAGGAGAACCACAGTTGCTATGACTACCGTCCAGTAGCACTGTATACAATGCTTGGTAATGAAGCTTACGTTAACGCACTCTATGAGAGAAACGTAAGTTCTGAAACTTAATAGCCTCTGAATAGATTTTCAGCGCATCTTCGTATCGATGCTAATAACCATTGGTGGTGAAAGGTGTGGACCTTTGTTGCTTGAAGTAGGTTATATTACCCTTCCGAGCCACAGTAAAGCTTTATTCCGATATATTGCCCAAGACCTGTGAAAACTTCAGAGCGCTGTGTACCGGAGAAAAGGGTCATGTTCCCAAGAATGAAGTGGAGTCGTATAAAATGCACTATAAGGGAACGTCGTTTTTTAGACTAGTAAAAAACGGGTGGATTCAAGGTGGAGGTAATTTCGGGCGCATGTTTAACTAAGTTTCTCAGACGTTCTTCACAGTAGGGGTAATGATGGCTGTTCAATATATGGGAGAACTTTTGAAGGTGAGCAACTGATTCGCTAATAAAACAAACCCCACTTCCAGCTGACAGTGTTAATTGAAATAGAGACTGCGAACTCACAGGGGTACGCATAAAAGTTAGTTATACTTCTTGGAATTTCGCATGCGAACCATCGATCCCAGTCTTAGGTTTGTCTATTTCGAGAGATTTGGACGACATGCTTGCACTTTCGACCCTACTCAGTGTTGTGACTGCGCTTATAATATTCGGGAGTATTCACGTGTGTCTGTGGCTTCACTTGCATATTATGCCATAAGTGCTTGTTCTCTCCCCAGCTATTTTGCATTGCTAACAGTGAATAACAACGCGAGACTGACACGAATAGAATTTTGTTAAGTGTCATAGTCATAGCAGTTCCGCAAGTTGTCAACCGTGGCCGTGAGGCAACTCTTGTTTGCATTCAAAAGATAGTAGTTTTAGGATCGACGCAGAATCGAAATTGAAGATCAGAGCAGCATCTTGGATTTTCCGGTAATCTAGACCGGGTGATAAACACAGGCATGCTGTTATGGCATTGGTTTCAGTCATATCAGCTCAAGCACTCCGTAACAAAGAGATCCTGGAACTGCGTATATGAAGAATGGGCCTGGATTACGACGTTTAGTGTTCCATTAGCAAAACAAACCAGTCTTTAGAGCTGCGATACAAGCTTAGCACTGAATGATTCTCAGCCATCAGGTTTTACGACCGCATGAGAGTCAACTGTCTGAAATACGGGCAGCACCTGTCCAAGTGTTCGTTTCGTTTCGGGTCGCTGTTTAGTTCTGAGGTTTGAAGACATTGTAAAACATGGCCCTCTCAATGGTACTCGTGTATCCAAGATTGTTCCTTCAATGCACACTTAAATTCCCAAACCCCTCAATAAGTCTTGCATTTACGCAACAATTTATCAGCTCCCACCTCCAATGCGTAGCTATCCACTCTACCTCCCCAAATCGTCGGTGAATGCAGCTACAAAAATGTGCGACAAGGACGTCAAAAGACTTTCTGTGTCTGACAATCGATGTCTTCGGAACATTGTTCCAGTATGATAGGAACAACAAATAAGCGGTGTTGAGGCACTTCGAATGGCGCACGTGCATCCAAGTCATTGCCTTTGATGCATAACTGCCCCCAATTTCCCCAATTAATAGTCCCCCGACAACTATGTATTTACAGATAAATTAAATCAGCTACCGCCTCCAATGGGCAGCTGTCTACCCCATTTCCCCAAATGATCGGTGAACAAAATTGAGGCAGCTATAAAAACTGTACGGTAAGTACGGGGTTTTTATGCTGACAATGATGACAGACATTTAAGTAAAATAAAGACTCTGCATGACTGGTATGGTCAAGCCTTTTGGGAAATTTGCGACAGACCATATTGTTGGGTGTTTGTTTGGCCTCAGTCAAAAATTTGGAGCAACAAATGTCAGCTATCCTGATGAGAGCATCTGTGTTTTCACATTTTCTGATAATCCGAATGGTTGCTATAAAATTGAAGTTTTTCGGAATCTAATGTTATCGGTTGTTTCATTGGCTAACTTTATTTACATATCAAAAGTCCAATTTGAATGTCCCTTTAGCACCGACTGGGTTAATGCGAAAATGTATAATTGTGATAAACGCACTACCCCCAGAAACTTCAAAGTTTCTGAAGCAAGAGGCAGCTTATGCTTTAAGGAATATCAGTTTGTTTATGGCAAACGGGTTATTTCTGGGGCAAGTTCCTCAAAACCCTCTGGGAAAGTTACCGTTGTAAACAGCCAATTGCGATGGCAGTGGATATGCTTGTTTACCAAATGAAGGGCTGCTCTTGAGATGGATGTCTCAGAGGCATGCTCCCAACTGATTGAAATAGGTCTGAATTTTAAGTTCAAAAGTACATCGGTGTTAAAATGTAATTATAGTGGCAGAACGAGTTTATAGGTGCAAATCGTGCGTAGCATGTAGCCAGTTGTTACTAGTGGCTACCTCCACAAACTATAAAGTTTCCGTCACGTGCCATGCCTTGCGAATAGTCGTATACCGATTGCTGAATGAAATCCTGCTTACGGAACGATCAACCGATGTGTACTGACTGGAGACGAATCGGGAAGACCAGCGAAACTTTGCCAACACCCGGCGTGACGACTATATGTCTGCAAAAGACAGAGTACAGGCTGCGTCGGTGCAATGAATACTGGAATATTGACAGCAAAGTGCTATTCACGCGCAGAGGCCGTAGGAGAGCTGTCAGTGTTTGATTACCGCGGTCTCCCATGCATCACATTGTTCTAGAGTGAACGTCTGATGAGAAATGTTGAGGCAAGCCGGATGGTTTTAAGAAGGAATTCTCCCACGATCGACGAAATAATCACACTTCATAGGTCATGCTGTTTCGGATATGTAATCACCATTTAGGAGGACTGTCTGTTCTGCACAGTCCTTAGTGAGTAGGAACCATTGAGTGGTGAAGAGCCAATGACCTGGCGACGAACTATGAAAAGACTAACCAGTAAGTTAATTAGGGTCGTCAAGGAGGGGATCTCGGGGCTCAGGTGATCAGTGGCTAGTGACAGATAAATATGGTTCAGCCAAGCAGTCGGTAGCGCTCGTGCATAAAGGCCATCGCCTTAAAGCGCAATTGTCCAGTTTATCAAATCACTGGTCATATAGTCACATCCAATGCTTGGCTTTATTTTCTATGCTTTAACATTAGAAGAAGACCAAAATTGCGCCGGTAAGGACCAACGTACTTTGATACATGATTTATAGCTGATAAACTGGACTAAACATCACTTCTGATAGGGTCCCAAAAAGCGATTACACCCAAGGTTTCGGTTCTACAAAGTTTTAGAGCCTGTGGACCTGTGAGTGTTGGGAACGACCCAGCTGAACTGAGCTAATCCAGCTTTGAATATCTAAGGCATATACGTAGAAAGTCTCGCGACACTTTACTCACCATTACCGGAAATTGAATGGATTGCCGCAAGCGCGTCCACTGTGTTACGAGCATAAAACAGCTGTTTATTTTGAGGAAACACAGGACAACGATAATACTGAAATAAATGATTTTTCATTAAGGAATCTCCAATCAACTCCAACATACGGTGCAGTAATGGCCACTATAAGCATGAGAATATCTGAAAACACTTTTAGTTATGTGTATGTACACTGTACTAGAGTATTTTGACAGGATAACTTAGGCATTATTATTCCCAGGCAAACCTACCAGGACATCAGCTATCACTTTAAGTCGAACCTTAGATAAGTAGGCTTGAATAGACGTTTTTTCTTCAAACGTACCAGGGAGGATTTTCATAATATCCACCCACTCCTTGCATTCTAGACGAGAATTTTGCTATTAAGCACGATCGACGCGGAATACTGAGTATGGCCAATGCCGGAAGACACACAAACGACTCACAGTTCTTCATAACATTGACCCCAACGCCATGGATGGATAATTTATACGTTGCTTTTGGGTAAGTTTACGATGACACGCGAACGACATTTTGAGCGCCGAAATAGGAAAAGATGGAACCAATTAACAAAATATATAAAAGTTAAATTAACTGCGTTTATATAAACAAGGCACCTTCGGCTGACACTATGTTATATCGTTTGATACCAAAATGCCACCGATTTCACTGGATCCTGTAAGCCAACCCAGTGTACATTGCTGTGGAGTCTTCTGAAAAAACGTAAGTTGGTTGCGCGATACATGTCTCCAGGACTTCTACTTGACGCCGTCCTATATATATATANATATATATATATATGGAGAACGAACGTAGAACAAGAATAGTCCTGCGATGGCCAGGCTCTGGTGAATAGGCTGCAGTCAAGCAACCAATCAACCTTGTGTTGGTTTGAATGCTTCCATCGCCTATCCATAAGGACTCAGCTATAGACTGCATGACATAGCGCAGAACACTCAAGTAATTGAGATAAAACTCAGAATTTTTGATCATAAAAACACAACTTCAGTTAGAAAAAAGCTACACCGCCACACTACCGAGAAGACTTCTGTAGTACTAATATTAAGCTGCTAGAGATAAGCTTACTTTGTTGCCTCTATCGCCAACATAAAAAGCATATCCATTAACTTCCATTTTCTTCTTCAGTAGGGTGATAGAAGGGAGCCTGACGCTCGATCTTATGGAAGAAGTGCCCACCCAAAACGAACGGCCAACGAAAGACATTTGCATCAGCGAAATACGTATAATGGATCCAAAGGATTTATCCACCAAGTTGTGTTAAATCACTTCGACGGATGAACAAAAAATCATCATCGGGGGCACAATAGTCCCAGGATCTGTGGAACGGCGAAGCAGCAAAATAAATTACTTGCTTTCGAAGTTCGACGGTACACTCTTTTACGTGGATACGCTGGAGCTGGGTAGGACGTTACAAGACTAGATGATTTGGTAGCTTAGCTCAGAATAAATTGATACCAAATAGGCAACAAAAAACTAAAACAGTAAAACGGTAAAAGCGATACGGTCCAGTATGTGACTTCCTCCACTGAGCACTCCATACGTCAACGGGAGAACAAGCGACCACTTCCGACAAGTACACTCATTTGCACGCCGATTTGGTTTTCACGGGACCGCGTTTCACGAGTGCATCGCAAGCAATTACGAGGCATATTCCCAAGGGACCAGTAAGCGAGAAATCAGTCATTGTTTGGCTTCCGTAAACAGATAACAACAGGAATTTTAACCAGGGGAAAACTGCCGCGCACAAATTCTATTATAAAGGTGACATACCAATGGAATAACTTTTCTTCACGAAAAATTTTCCGGCCAAAAGTCTACCTGGACGGCATGACTTAAGAGGAAGTAAAAGTTGCAGGGCGCTCAAGCTCAGTAGCGAGGAGGAAAGATGAATGCTATTTCCACAAGTTTGCTGGATACAATTCAAGATCTGTTAAAATGATGCCAAAAGTCGAGATAACTACAACCTTCCATACACCAAGTTAGCCCACTGTTCTTGATGCAGTGCATGTCTGAACGCAGTAGTGCGGCCTGAAGAGAGTGCGATCAAGATTAATTTTAGGCAGATAGACCAGCGTCGCGTCACAACTATTTAGACAGACTTACGCAGAACGTACGAACGAAAAAAAGCTGCGCTACGTGCATGCCAAACCATTATAGCGTCATGGCGCTGAGCCTGACGACAAGTCACTCATGATAACCAGTGGTGGATACAGGTGCATACCTGACATACAACCATGGAGGAGACCCAAAGAGAAAGGTTGGCAGGGAATGTGAACCTATCGCAAAACCTGTGGACCTTAGGGAAATGGTCATAAACGGGGTACACATGTCTTAGAACACCATTGAGATATATCTGAGAAGTGTCGGAGTGAGTGCGCATCGGCAGGATTGGTTCAGCGTCCTATACGCACCTCACCCAATTCAAATCCAGCACACAACTACAGACTAACCTCAGCTAGACGGTCCGGATAAAAATGGTAACATGATCACTAATGGGATCAATTGCGTGCCATGTATCGGAGTTTTCAGTCCCATGCAAACAGAATAATGCACATCCAACCAGGAAAGCGAGACCCTAAAGCACTCAAACTGACGGTTGGTCTCATCTCGCGTTACTGTAGTGACACATTTCCCGCGGACATTTTGTAGACGACGGTTTAAAGTGGGAAAGGTGACTTGGTAGACAGCAGTCGGGCACATTGATTTCATCATCACCGACAGCATATCAGTATTCAACACTGATGCACTGCTGCCGTACAACCACATTAACTTTGCAAACCTTACCTATTGCCATGGAGATCCCGACTAATTTCTAAGCACTAGTTAACGAATATAAATACGCTACAGACAGGTGACATTTGCTGCACTAAGGTGACGTGCGTGAGCAAATACGTGAATTTTTAGCCCGTTAAGACGCCATTTTAAAACCCTTCTCAAAGCTATTCTGTGGACATAGCCCTTTAATTTCAGTGAAATTTATTTGACTACGAGATGATGCAGATGAGGAAAGCGCTGCACGTGCTTTGATGGTGTGCAAAGTAATGGCATCAACGACAGACAACCCGAGGTATGTTGGAAAGTGACGAGATTCGAGCTGATCCCTCAAGAGAAGCAAAAAAAGCTGTGTCCCTATATAGACTATGGACGGCATTTCTAGTAAACAAGACCTATTCCTACGATGTGACATGGGAAGAACGACAAAACAGTGGAACCTTAGGACCACTCAGTAGCACGGATTAGGAGGACAAAGGTATTCAACCTGGTTGCTGGGTTGCCAATTAGGAACGTTAATTACATCTTGCCGCTAAGCTCAGTGCCTGAATCGATAAATGATCGGTTCAAACTTAGCGACCATAATGCAGCATAGTTTCAAAATATATAATCTGTAATACGATCATTTTCAATGGTTCATTAGACAGGGAAGATGAAGAAAAGACCGTAGAACAAAAAACTCTGAAGTGAAGCGTGAAGGACAACAGAGACTATGAGAAATCCGGAAATAAGTTTTGCCAAGGTAGCAATGTACATGTGTTAGCGAACAACGAAGAGAAAGGAACGTTATCACAACGTTAGGGCGCAGGTAAATACCGTGGTATTTTATACGATTAGGCCTTTCCGGATGGTTCTGGGGGCACGTTCGAAACAACATTATCTTTGGCAGCATCCGCGACTTCGATCCGTAACACATCAGGATTCTTCACACGAACATCGGGAAGTGGAAGCGAGAGGGAGTTTGGGGCAGCAGATGAAGGACTGCGTTTGGTGACGAGATAGATAGCGACCAGAAATATGACTATCATCAAAAAAATTGTCCCCACGAGTAGCACGCGGTTCTGAATGATTCTGAAGTGAGAAAGTGGGTTAAAATCGTCTAAAGGTCAACGCTCCGATCGGCAGGGCAAATCAGATGAAAGCACTTGTGAAACTAGACCTGAAAAGGCGCGAGCAGGGTTAACATAAGTCATTAGCCTAACCAAAACATATACATCCTACATGAAACCGCCTCAAAATTTTTCAAGTCTACTTGGTGATCCTTACAGGAACAAAAATGCTCGGCCTTCAATCGAGGTTACCCGCGGGGCCACTTCACATGGTTTTACCCTTCTTCCATATGAATGCATATCCGTAGACTGCATGACGGATAGTTATTTGATCGCATTTTCGTTATTTCCATCAGCTCTCGCGTTTCTGGATCTTTGAAAGAAAAATGCTAACCTGACCTGGGATCAAAACTACTGTCCAGCAGAAGCTCGACAAGCTATCCGGTTGAGGAAATTACAGTATTGAGGTCGTCCCTTGCAGCACTTTGTTCCAAATGTTTTTATCCGACTGTAACATAGTTTCCACTCACCTGGTCCTCCCTCAGACAGTGACTGACCAAGAACCAGTCAACATTATTTTCTCAGGAAAAACGAGGTAGTAAATACTTGGCCAACAATGTTACCATTGAGAAGCTCGAACCTGATTTTTCTGATTATGATAGAAATGACCGGTGAGTTGAGTTGGCAGCGCAGCACAAGGCTCATTGGTTACAGCGCGACCGAAAGGTCGGTGATTTGAACCCGATCTCTGCATCTCGACTTCCCTGTCTAGGCTTGGGCAACCTGGCAGTATCCTGACCCTCGTGCTTCCCTCTGGTGGCATGGTAGGTAAACACCGAGAGGGTGGCGCAGCTGAACGACGACGATCTCACGAAAAATTCACGAACCTTAGTGACTAGTGTAGTAATTCTTACCCAGCCATTTGGAGGCGATGTGAGCGAAAGTTTGGTCAAATGTAAATCCACATGTGGTTGGACCTTTTTCGATGAACAGGCGGAGCAGACTGCCGGAAGCGTTTCTTCGCTCACAGTTGAACCGACTGTTGACATTTGAAATTCCCCACGCTCCGTGTGTCCCTATTTGTAACCCCCACTCCACTTTTGTGTTTAGCGCGTGTATATGAACTGGTGTTTGTTTGCCCTTACCACTTCATTCATTTGGCCTTGAGGTCATCATTTGTGGCCTGGCCGACTTCATGCACGTGTAACTGTCTCACGTGGGAGCCTGTTCGCCCATTTGGTCCGCACTTTTGTTATCCAAGTGGACCATTTGTTTTGGACGAGTATCTACTGTCGAGGTTTGTATAATTTACGAATTTGTCTTACATTAATAGTATCGTATAGAAACCCAGTCTTCCTGGAGGTTCTGGTATTACGCATCACTCGAAGATATCGTCTGCTCGTTACAAAGATATTTGAAATGAACTGTGGTTGTGTAAGGAGTGGAATTGACCAGATATGCGGGTACCACAGTAGGATTGTGCTTATTCTAGCTAGAAGGCCGAGTAATGTAAAGGTAAGTCAATCTACATGAGGGTCGAACCTCCAACTAGGAGGCAAGTCCTAACATCTTGGACTCTCCGTTGACCGCATAGGCTCTTCTCCTTAGTGCCGGAAGCGCTTAAGATCCGGCCTCCAAGTAACTTACTGATACAGACCAGAGAGCCCAACTAAATGTTGGATAAAAGCCAAATTAAACAAATAACAAAGTGGGCTCAGCTGATCAGCCCAAAACCACAGATGATAACAATAATTCAGGGTTGAAACTTGGTGATTATTACGGATTCTACGCTAAGTCAGCTTGTTTTCCTGCACCTATGGAAACGGCCACCGGAAGTGAACTCAAAAGTTAATGCCTTGTCGAGACAAACATTCAGAAGCAACATCCATGCTGTGAAACCGAACGTCATGGGTCCTGGTCCTGCACAAATCAAGTTGGAGTGACTACTGCAAACAACTAATCAATCCAACTGCCTAACAGTCATGGAACTTCATAGGAGGAGGGGTTTCTATTTACAGTGATAGCATTGACAGATGTGACCTAGTCAAAGAACCAGACTAATTCAATCAATTTAAAGATTAGGGTCAACTCATCTGGCACGCATTCAGCTATGAAACACCATGCATCTGTTGGGTAAGAACGAAATGAACAGGTGGACAAAAATGAGGTATAACCCACATCTGAGACCACCAAAAAACGGACGCAGAAGATCTCACCGTCTGGTCATTTCACTGAGTATGCGTGAACTCTTGGTCAAATCAGCATCGGCCTGACGTAGCTGTAACCAAGGTGGGTAAACAACAGCAACGTAAATCAGCGGTAATGAAAACCCACAAAATAGTCAGTAACAAATGGCAAATGAAACTAAACTTGACGATATTTGGAGGTAACCAATGCCAGTGATGTCGGACGGTCACAACAAAGTCTCAAACTCTTGCAGAATCCATCAAATTGGAACCCAGTCGTTGACTAAATGTATTAATCGACAAAGGTGAACTACCTGTGCGATAAAAAAGACAAACAATAAGACAGATCGGATGAAAAATCCCTTGGTTGTGCAGTCGCCATACTTTCCGACCGCTCACTCTAAAGAATAGGAGACCCTACGGTCACACCATGCGTATCTACAACACGAGGCCGGAGTCAGATTATGCCCAATATTCGAAATGGTTAGGAATTACAGTTTATTTTGGAAGGTTAGTTTACTTATCAACAAAGTGAGAAAATAATATCATATGAATAAAGGAATGATGGCAAGACCACAGGTAGACTCGAAATACGTTCAAGTCCTCCAATAGCCTATCTGCTTAACTTTAAAACTCTTGTAGTGTTTCATCCGAACTACATGAGTTTGCTACTTTTTTCAAGCTCTGTGTTGCAGCTTTGGCACTACCAGTGCTGTCAACAAGTAAATCACCACTATACGTCTCCTTTCAATACACAGGTGTTACGACAGAACATAAAACAAACCGCCGAGTCTGAAGCTAAAAAGTTTCAACAGGAAATACATCGCAGTTTTTCTTGACAAGCACAGGACAAATTTCAGTGAACATTTTTACTATCTCAGTTGGTAGTCCCTGCGCTCATCTATGTGTGTATGTATCAAGCAGGCCACTGTCATATATTGGGGAAGTCGGCGTACGTCATCTGCCGGTTAGTGATGTTTTGCTCGTACAGCAGAAGCCGTTTAATGACATGTCTGCTTACGTTAGATAGAGGGTGGAGACTTTGGCCTGGAGGCAGCTTTATAGGACACAGAGCTAATAAAACACGTACGAATGGAGCAGTCATCAGAGGAATGAGCAAAGACCATCGACAAACGTTTGTGTGAAGTCGGTTACTGAACGTAGTTAGAAGGGAGCGTTGCACTGTCAAGCGGTTGTTAAATAGAGGTATCCTATATTCAGACATAGACAAAGTTAAATATGAAAAGTTGGTCCGCGTTCGGAGAAACTTATACAAGGTTGACTGTATATGACATCCACCAAGAATACTCACTCGATGACGACTACGCTGTAGCTTTTCACGTTGGTCCCCTAAATCATTTAGAATATGACCACCAACTTCTTCGGTTTGAAGAGCAACTCCCAACCCATCCTCCAGTCTGTTGGTTGAGCGAGCCATTCTTTCTGTATTGTCCAACAGTCGGGCCCGCATATCAGAATCATAAAGGACCTCTTCGCGTAAACTTTCTTCATCGCCTTCAAACTGCCTTTTTGATACATCGGACATGATGCGTGCCGCGTAGCGCGGGCTCTTCTGTTAAGCGGCAAGAGAATGGGAGGGAAATAGGGATCTGGGTTGTATACGCTGTTTACAAAAAGTCAAAGTAAAAAACTTTTGAGACCAGACATAGAGAAACGTATAAAGCAACTTTCGAAGTTGGTATGTCATTCATTGATAAAATCAAAATTGGGAGCGGATGTTCGCAGTGAGGCTTGTTCCGGTGCATAGCTCCTTGCCACACTAAACCTGGAACGCAGCTACAGTATATTGCTTGGCAACGTGTATGTCTTGAAATTCAAGATACATCGATTAACTACATTCAAGGATGGTTGTACGAAGAGTTCTGTGCTTCCACGCTACCCAGCTGTCAAATTCAGATTATCCATGATGTCTCATAAAGTCAACAAAAAGCAAGACTGGCTACAGAACGCATACAATGGACGATAACAATAGTCAATGAAATTTGAACCAACTACATTCCATCTGAAGGACCTACCACAAAGTAAAGTAAAAACATTGATTTCTAGGGTAACAGTGTAATATAAATAAACGAAGCGAAGGAACAGAAGTTAAATCTTAATAATGTTGATAAGTAATTCGACGACCTTGTGTGCTGTTTATCAATATGCTTCCTATTTGTGTTCATTTGAGAATATTCACCCTTGACAAGCGATAAGATTTCAGGAGTGTAGATATGGGCACTAGCTCCGTAAAACGCGAAATAAGTTGTTTAAAACAACTGTGCATCAGGGATGTCTGCCACTGCAACTGATGGTAGATACAGACAATCTATGAAGACAACCGACGGTATTCCATTACTAATCACCACCTATTTTACCAAAATCTGGCATTCTCACATTACGCAAACCAAAAATACGAATCGGCCGGACATCGGCAGTTTGGTAACCTTGATTCGGATGCCAAACTAGGGAAGAATTCTGGCAAACTATTCATGTACGGAGAAGAGGGTAGGATGAGGAAAATGTATTTACACTCTAAGAGCGGTAAGAGTACTAACAGTGGATTGCGTGGGTCGGGTGGAGTGCAAAGTGGGCTGAGGAGATCATCTTCAAGTGTATGACTGGGTTGGCGGATCACCAGGACGGGAAACACAATTAACTAAGCCGTGCTAGAGGGGGAAATGCACAAAAATCAATCCGCTTTCCTTCCCTACAGGTGAAACGTAGGAAGGAACACACTCAGTCGACGGATGAAGCCTATCGGTTCGTCCAACGTTGTGTTCGAGCAGCCGCTGCACCGATAACAGATATTGTAAACCCAGACCTGTGTCTACTCGAAATAATCGGTTCCAGTGTTACTCGCCTTCCAGGATGAGTACCACGTGATTCCCACTGCGCCTGGTTGGACTACAAGATGTAGCCGCTGCACCGATAACAGATATTGTAAACCCAGACCTGTGTCTACTCGAAATAATCGGTTCCAGTGTTACTCGCCTTCCAGGATGAGTACCACGTGATTCCCACTGCGCCTGGTTGGAGACGCTACAAGATGTGACTACTTGCCGATGTCTATTACGTTCCTGTTGACAGTTTCTATCCAGGTTGTCTGAATGAGTGTCTGGAGGTGGAATCACCTCGGAATGATTAGTAATCTGGCACTCTTATTCTTTCCTTCACAAAAAGCCTATCAAATAAATCATGGTTGTACGGCAGTGAAGCAAATGTTGAACACTGATGTCATACTGTCGATGGTGATCATGAAAGATGTGCATAAGAGGCCTAAGCTACTCTTTGGCCGCGTCAACTGAATGGCGGAACTCCCTGTATAAAATCGTTAATTCGCCTGTGTGAGAGAGTTTGAGAAGCATTTTACAGTGACAACGGATAGCGGTTGTTTGATGTGAAAATACCGGCATTTGCGTCGTTTTTTTCGCCAGCGAATTCGTTGCAGACGAAGTCTACAGGTTGAACAGTTGGATGTTCGATATGACTAGGTGAACATGGGAACACCATCAAACCATGAACCCTCAACATGGTATGATTTCTCCTTGTGTGCAGACCGACCGCGAGTGAGGGTGGTGTAGGAAGACCTTGTGCAATTTGTTTGGGGTATCGCTATACGTTAAGAACGTCGGATGAACCAGCACACACCACGTGTTATTGAAAATATGGATACCGCCCTGGCAATCAGATACACTTAACTAGGTAAATAATCCCATTCATGAAACAAGTTCAACAAAGCCGTATGACACGCTCATATCGGGTTGTGGTGATGGCAAATTATACATGTAGTTTCTAACGGACTGAGTGGATAGTAGATCGACAACAACTGCTTGTAACTTGCAACACCGGTATGAGCCTTTTATTTATGGAACCGAGAACATATCAACGTGAGTCCGTCAGGTGCCTCCCTCAACCTCTGCCGTCCAGGTTGCTGTGGACTTGTGATCTCTGCAGCTTCAATATGTGAGCCGAACATTCACGTTAGAACGCCGCACAGACAGGTGATCGGTCAAGGACAAGATGCCTCTCAAGGTCGTATGCACTCTAGCAGTACCGGAAGACAGACGTTTTAACCAAGGATGGATGTGCAGATAGAACATGTCCTCCGCAAAGTAGGACATCCCCGTCAATCGAGCCGAGTATGCAGAATGCTTACACGCTGTTTATAAGTGTAGTCGGACTGGAAGGAGAGAAATTCACATAAACGGGCGTTGAAGTGTCTGGTGGAACGAAGGGCTGTAACTCCAAGGTGCAGGTTGTCTGGCGTAATCCGGCTGCACAAAACCTTTAACTGAGAGGGTTATTTGAGAGGGGATCAACTCATCGTAAATCACGGTACGAACGTCTTATCGACATTTATGCGCACACAAGTTAAGCGCAATACGTGCTTTTCGCAGGGTAGTGCTCAAGATGGACCACAATTTTTTGAAACCTGGGCCGATCATCAGGTAGGGTTCTGGGAAAGGTTCCAAACAGCAGGAACACATGGATAAGCAATTAGTTCATCCAAGCCGGTGACTGGTTCGAAGGCGTGAGGTTATGTAGTCACACAGGCCAGGCTAACCCAAATTTGACTCCTAATATCGAAATGACTGACGGGAACCGGAAAACCCGATCGGATGGTCGGCAACATTGCCAGACGCCAAATCGTTTCCTAAGTTTATCGCTTTCTATGGTACACTCACGGTTATTTCGATTTGTAAATATGAATAAGAATGGGTGATACTTTGGTGTTCCTGAGTCCTGGCCAGTAGCAGGCCTGGGTCTAATCGGTCCCAGACTCGTTATGTCCGAGGTGGTTCAGTGGTGAAAGCGCGAATTTACTGGCCGGAAGGTCAATGGTTCGAACCCAACCTCTGCCTCTCGAATTCCCCCCGTCTAGGCTTGGGCAACGTGGTAGTATCCCATTCCACATGCTTCCATTGGGTAGCATGGAAGCTAGGCACCAAAAGGGTGTTACAGTTGGACGCTTATTTTTATTTTATTTATTAGGAACTAGACGCACGAGTGCGAATAGCGTGGAGCATTGTCAAACTCAACGGCTGGTCTGTCCACACTAGCTACAGCGCGATAAGAAAAAGACATAAGTTCAGTTATTTTGGGTAGTTTCAAACAGATATCGTAAACGTTTTAGCAGAGCGTTTTCAAATGAGTTTCAAATGTGTTTCAAATGAGTTGAACAATTGTTTGGTTTAGGAAAACGTGAGTTCAAAATCAATCTGTTCACACCTGACGGGTGGAATGGTATAACTGGTCCTCTGTCGAGATAGATTCCGCTGAGGCCGTCGAATAGCCACAGCTTCATCTCGCTCTATTCAGCATAAGCTATATCCGTCTGAGCCAGATCTGTTCACAGACTGCAGCCAAACAAGTGGCGTTCAATGAAACCTACTAGCAGCATTGCTCTGTTGAGCCTGGGAATTTTGGGGTAGATTGTGTTGAACGTGTGGGCACTTGGAGTGTTCACAGCAGGTTCAATTCTCTACCCCATCACCCACTTAAGAGTTTCTCAGCGACTAAACTGATGCTCCTCCGCTTCCAATTTTGGCCAAAAAATCTTCCTGCCACAGGTTGACAAATATGTCCCCTGTGTATGTCAGTCGCCCAATAAAAATGGCATCACTCACTGTCAATTATGAACACATCTGACAACCTGATTTTACCGCTTCCTAGTCCCTTAGCGACTTGAATATCCACAACGCTCACCGACTGGTTCTTTCACTGAACACGGACCCGAGTGGACTGTGTCTAACCGCGATGTGGTGGTTTGTGTACCTCGGCGACCCACTGAACTATACTAGAGGGTGACCGCGCGACACTGTCTCTCATACCAGGTTGGGGGCTGGAACAAGTGTGGCGACGTGTTCCCTAAAAATGGTAATGTACTCGCGTTTCCAGCCCAACACCGCTGCCTTGCGGTTAGGCTGATGAGCTGAAGACTCTGGCTGAGGACCTAACCATCCTCTGTCTAGGTGTGGGCGCCCTTGCAGTATCCCAGTCCTCCTACAACCATGACATTTACAGCTAACAACCCCTCATGCCACATCAGCCGTCGCATGGTGCCATCAGCTGGTTCGACTTGCGTGCTGCATGCAGCAGGGCGGGTAAGCGAAAATATGTAAGTGCTGGAGCCTCCCTTCTTACACTTTCACGTATTCCATCTCCCACCCCCGCAACAGATTTGAATACATCCTCCGCAGGTCCCAGCTCTAGGACTGACCGTTTTGCTCGCCCTGCATTACAATTAGCTACAGCTTCTATACGTCCGAGTTCAGTCAAAAGCCCAAATACTTAGAATTTTGTTTTCAAACACCGAAAGCTTGTCTACTTATCCCCCTTTAATGTTCGCACACTGAAGCAAGCAGAACAAGTGGCTCTTGCAAGTGAGCGGGATTCCCTCTATGTTGATGTGTGTTGTCTGTCAGAAACAAGGACGCAGGACGTAAGCACTGTGATCAAACTGACAGCTTTGTCCCTCTTCCTGCTGCGCACCTCTGGTGATGCAGAGGCCGCTGAAGCTGGATATGCTGGAGTGGGTATTGTATTGAGCGACTGAGCGGAAGCGTCTCC